TGCCGCTTCTGCCGCTGCCCTCACCGGTAGCCGATCCGTGCGGGATGGGGAGGTGGGAGGGCCTCGAGCAGCTGTGTCCTCTTAGGGCCTAACGGGCAGAGATGGAATGACCCAGAAAGTCGCAGGGATCCAGAGAAAGGACACAGGTTAGGTCCTCTTAGGGTCACTAGGGACCCAGGGTCCAACAAGAGCTCCCAGGCAAGACCAAGCTGATGGGGTGGGCTTCTGCTTGGCTTCTCTGTGGCTCCATCAGCTGGTTTCCAGCTCTTATGCGTGGGGCAGAGTCGGGGGAAGTCTAGGATTCCAGTGACCACTTAGCACGACCAGGAGCAGGCAGCAAATTCCTGGGTGTCAACCTCTGGCCTCTGCGGTCGGCCCCAGTGTAAATAATGCTGGATCTCCATGCTTCTTCATGACCTTCCTCTATTCAGAAACTTGCAGCTCCTCAAACCCAAATTCCCAGCGCTTTGATTTAAGGCCCAGTTTCCCCTAACTCCTCATCTCACCCTGATTGCTCTCTTACCACCTAATCACCACCACTCACAGAGGTTTACCTTGAGTGTCAATCCTTGGTATTCCCAAGATCTGCCTCTCTAATCTCTGGCCTGCCTAACCTGTCCTTCCCTCAGAGTTAGCTAAAATTCCACTCCCCGAATTTGACAACCCTTCCCTTTGTTCTAATATTGTCCTAAGAATCCTGATGTTATGTAAATGGAGTCTTCTCAAAAGAGGTAACCCATTACTGTTTAAAGTTAACAGTTTATACGATGGTCCTCTTCAAATAAGGGACTGGGCGTGTAGTCTCTACACTGGGAAAGCTGAAGCAGGAGGATGACTTGAGTCTAGGAGTTCAAAACCAGCTTGAGCAATATAGTGAGACTACATCTCCCAAAAAAGGGAGGGAGCTGGAGATGTGGCTCAGTGGTACAGTCCTTACCTAGCATGTGCAAGACTGGATTCAGTGGCCACTAACACCAAAAAGAAAATGCCTGTGGGCTTCCTTGATTATTCCACTTCTCCTTCCTTGAATCCCTTACTAAATGATTACTTTACCCCCAGGACAGAAACAATGACTTAGTAAATATGCAAAAGTTTGAAATCTTTTGAAATTGTGGGATAAATCCAGAGATTTGGAGAAAATGGAACTACAACAAATATTTTTGCACTCTTCACAAATATATAATCACTTCTCTCAGTAGGTGAGAAAAATATATTGTGCATAGCTTTGTTTAGGCTTCCAGATTAGCACAAATATTGGGATGAATAGAAAATTGACCTTTTGGTTTGGTTTGGTTTGTCTTGTATTAGCCTGGTGAACTCAGGCAGAACTCTCCATACTTCTCTGGAGGTGCAGCTTCCTGGTCAGTTTAGTTTGAAGATAATAAATATACCAGCCCCCATCTACTTTATAAGATAATGGAAAAGGTCAAATGTGAAATGGAATTAAGATTTAAGTATCTGTTCCAAAAACAATCCTCAATAAATTTTCTAATGAAATTTGAAGTCTTAAATTTTGTTACCAACAAGCTTCTAGGGGCTGACTGACCATTTTAAAAATCAGTCAGCTCTGAATCTTTGCCAGTTTGTGAGGGAGGAGGAAAGGCTGGGGTGAGCAAGTAACCTAGCATGACCCATAGGGGGAGTCAGGTGTTATAGAATCCTGGCCCTTCACTTATATGTGCTATTCTCTGAGCCACTTTGGCCATCAGTCTCATTGGTAAAATATGAATAATAATGGTAATAACAACTGACAGCTACTGAGTGTATTCTGTGGGTTATGTACTATTTCAAGCACATTCCACGTATCCAGCCATTTAGTTGCCACCACCACCCCATGAGAGAGGGACTGTCAGTAGTTCCATTTTATGAGTGAGGAAACTGAACACAGTTTAGTCATTTGCCTAAGGCCACCCTGTAGCAACTGGGGAGGCCCAGGATCAATCCTATACAATCCAGCTCTAGGTCTATGCTCTTAATGATGCTGGCCAGCTAACTCTATGGAGTTATTGTGAGGATTCAGTGAAATAATGCACATAAAATACTCAGCTTAGTGCCTAGTGTAGAGCTCTTATGATTAATGCATCACTGTAAGCTGTAAGTAGGTTAATGCCTATAGGTCTAAAACACAGTTCCTGGCACAAAGGAGATGCTTTAGAAATTGGTTCCCTTTCCCACAGACATGAGGGAGATAGAGAATATGTCCCACTCTGCAAAGAGATGCGGGAAATGCTCCTTTATGCATGGTAGTTTATCCTGAGGATAAGAAATTTGAAGCAGGGTATGGTGGCACACACCTGTAATCCCAGCACTCTGGGAGGCTGAGGCAGAAAGATCACGTTTGAACCCAGCCTAGGCAACTTAGCAACTTTGTGAGACCCTGTTTCAAAATAAAAAGTGCCAGGAATGTAGCTCAGTGTGAAGGTCTTGAGTTCAATCCCCAGTACCAAAGGAGGGGAAAAAAAAGTTGTCACCACCTTTCAAATACACCTTTCCTATGGACATGAGAGCCTCATGTCTCTACTCTTTTATTTTTCTAATTGGTATGGTTTAGGTCTAAAATGGCCCCCAAAGCCTCATGTGTTTCTAAGGTGATTGGATTATGGGCATACTATAGCTCCCCTAACTTGCTGTTAGGAGATGGGGTCTGGTTGGAAGAGGTAGGTCCTGGGGGTGTGAAATGGAAGGGTGCTTCCATCTTTGCTTCCTGGCCACCATTATGGGAGCAGCCTTCCTGTACTGCAGACCCTTCCACCATGCTGTTTCTCCCACGGAGCCAGCCAGTTGTGAACTGAAACCTTTAAAACCATGAGCCCAAATTAACCTCTCCTTTAAATTGTGGGTGTTGGGTCTTAGGTCCCAGTGACAAGGAAAGTGACTGAGACACTAGTGTTTTCTCTATTTCCTTTATGGTCTTCTGAAAAGAAATAAGGTTTCCTTGGGCTGGAAAAAGCTTGAGCCTAATGTCAGTGTCACAGATGGTAGAATTGGCATGAAATGCTGTCAGTACTCATGCATTTTCTAAGGCCCTTTCACTTCAGTTAACTGGGATAAAACACACTTGCAAAACAGGGAATGGCAGCTTATCCTCCCATGACTGATCTCCCATGACTTATCCTCCCACACACACATCTATCCATATACACACTCCCATAATCTGTGATCTAGTCTCATATACTCAATATAATTACTACTTCATTTGTCCACCCCAGACATACTTCTGTGTCTGGGATCATCTGCACACAACACAAAACACACAGCCACCTTCTTTACTTCCCCAGGGCCCATTCATTCATTCCAGCAACACATAGGTGAAGAATCATGTCAGGCACTGTGTTGGGTACTTGAGCATCATTTAGCCACAGAATCTCACACCCACATCTATTTCCCCACCACATAGACTTCCTGCCCTGTAATGTTTTTTTCATGCACCTTACCACATATAATGTTCAGCTTATATATACATGTGCCGTTAAAGACATTTTTCATTCATATTTCTAACATGACTTTGCTATATTTAGAATGCTCTCAGATTTTGCTTTCCTCATTTTTCCATTTGTTTATCACTCTAATGGCAGGATTAACCTAAAGGTGTAGGGTATGAAGTTTGTGAAATAGCAGCTTTGAGGCAGGATCTGGCCTTTTCTGCCATCTGTCTTCCAGAGAAATGCTGTGTATTTCTCCCAGAATGAGTGGGAAAAGGAACCAGGGTGGAATCCATGAGCAGGAGTGGCCTTAATAGATCAGACTGCTCAGTTGCCCAAGGTCTGTCTGTAGGGTGCAGAGTCCCCATGATCAGAATGCCAGCAAGGGAGAGCATGGGCCCACACCCCCAACCCTAAAATCAGTTTCCCAAATCGAGAAAACCCAGAGATGTCAGCCATAGCTACAGAATCTGGCATCCTCTCTGGCAAACTGCATGGGTGGTGGCCTGGGTTTCTAGGTCCTGCTTTCCCTTTTTGGCTATTTCTAACCTCCCACCTCCTCTCAGGGTCCAGTTCTTTCCCTTTCATACTCAGTTTTCAAGCAAGAGTGTGAAACTTCTTGGCAGACCCCAGAGGGAAAATTCAAAATTAAAGGAGCCCTGTTCTAACCAGAATACCAGAAACAGTGAAATCTGGAGGAAGGGCACTGGCCAAGGGAGTCAAGGGTGCTTTTAGGTTTCTCTAAAGACAGGTACATAGAGAAGGAGGGGGCAGTCATTTTGTGGAGCAGCTGAGGGAGGCAACCATCCTTGCCATTCTGGCAGACCTGGGGCTTCTTCCACCAGGGCTGTGAGGATCATGAGGCTGTTGCATGGTGGAGTGGACCAAATGGTATAACTGCCTGAGCCACCTCTATGAGGAATAAATTTCAAGTGGCCCTGTTCAAAAGGGCTGCTGCCCTGGATGCCAGGGAGAATGGTGACTTGGGGTGACCTTGGATTTATAGTCACCTGGGGAGTTAAATCATCTTCAGCACCAGGAAGGCTAGAAGCTGGAAGGAGTTACTGAAATAAGGTACCAGAAAGCATCCAAAACAAGGGCAAGCAATTTATATACTTCCAGCCTACCCCCAAGAAATGTGAAAAGAAGCACACTGTACTAGATAAAATGGAAGATAAGAGATTCACCTGGCTGGAGATAATTGGGGAGGACAAGATGTTAAAGAGAGATTGGAGCTTTATTGAGACTTTCTCCCTGATGAAATCAGAAGGGAAAGAACACTGGAAAGGGTCGGCCACTGTTTTGGCACAAATACAGATACCGACCTTGCGGAATCTCTGGATCCTAAGTTTCCTGTAATTCCTAGCCCTCTATTCCTAAAGAGAATCCTCCTTGAAATCTATCTCCACAAACCTGGGCAAAGAACAGGCACTTAGAACCTGTGCTGATTGATCAGTAGGTCTGTGGGCAATAGAGGAAAGGTAAGTCCAAACAAAGCATGAGAAGTGGAACAGAATAGAAAGAGAGAGAAAGAGGAAACAAAACTCCAAAGGGGACATACTGATAAGGTAGTGCCCCCAAAGTACAAATATTTCATGAGTTTATTAGACTTGTTCCACCCATTTCCCCAAAGCAATGGTGACATTGACAGCTATGACAAACCCATACAGTTCTGCATTTTTTATTTCCCTGACTGCACTGAGAAAAAACAGATACACCAAAAGCAGCAGATGGGCATGAGGAGCTCAAAGGAAAAAGGGACGGTCCCCCAAGAGGGAAAAGTAATAATGAGGCAAGGGGATTGGTTATTTGTTTTAATGGGAAAAAAAGTTCAAGATAGATTGTGGCTTCTCTGCCCCAGCTACCAGGCTCTGTGGACACCCTTTACAGAACTTGCTTTTCTTTTCCAGTTGACTTGCTTTTTGGAAAGCACATCCTGATGACTTTGGATACTTTGGTTCTCTTGTGGGAGGTCTTGATCAGAGGAGGTATCATGGGAGGCCATTCACAAAGCCTCTTGCAGCAGGCTCTGGATTGCTAAGAATTTTGAGAAACGTGAACTCCTAAACTGCAGTTCTCTGTGAGGACCCCATCTGGTCACCAATCCACTTACACTGGCTGATCTTCAGAGGACCTCTTGCTCAGCCTTCCTATCCACTTTCCTTCTGGTACAGATGACTTCCTGGTGCTGCTGGATCCAACCCACGCCTGGTAGTTAAGACCCCCAGAAAGGCTTGTCCCCCATGAGGGGAGACTGGCTGTACTGAAAGGAGCCCGTGGAGGCAGCCCTGGGATGGTGTGTGCACTCCTTCTGGAGGACCCCATCCTCCAGGGTGCCCCCTCCCATGTCCCCTCTGAGGTGGCAGTGCCTGCCAGCCTTGCAGGATTCTCAAGATGAGTTCTTTCTCTGTGCCTTTGGGTATATCACCTCTCTAATCTCTCCTAGGCAATGTACCCATGGATTCACATGCATTGTTGTTTGAGGCTGTAGCCATTCTGTGGTACATTCAGCAACTATCCACAACAGGTGCAGGTGAAGCTTAACTTTAAGGCTTAGTTGTCACCAATGCTGAATGGCTGGTATTAGTTCTGATTCTAGGAAAGTTCTCCTAGTTTTAAGTGTTGGTGCATCAGGGAATGGAGAAAAAAGGAAAGGAAAAGCCATAGTAGAAGGAACCAGAAGGAACAACTCCTCTGCCAAATGCTCCCATGGAGCACTTGTGGAAACAGCCTCCTCCTAAATTTGGGAGAGGCTGGCTGCCCAGAGAAGTCCCTAAGGACAAGGATCAGGGTCTCCACTGACCACTCTGAAACCCAACACTTTTGGGATCTGAGTTTTCCAAGACATGCAATAGACAAAGACACACTGCAAACCAATTAACCCCCTGAGCCCTTTCAGGACCTTCATTTATGTCATTTCTAAGAGGGGAATTACCTGAATACTCTGCCCACTCATTGTCTTCAGGCCAAGGAAGGCTCTGAGCTCCCTAGGTGAGACATCAAAGAAATGGTGCTGAGGGGGACAGATCTTCATCCTAACCTGGGAACTCTGGTTCTTAGTGTTCAGGTATCCTACCCATGACCCCAACCCCTGAAGAAACAGGGAAGAGGACCTTGGGACAGACTCAGAACTCAGGTAGATTCAGACCCGAGAGATTTCCCATTGTTGAAAGCCAACCCAAGCTTGGGAGGGAGAAAAGGAAGGCTGGAGAACAAACAGAAGACTATATGGAAGGAGCCAGCACAGACCTGAGAAGTGTATATAACTCAGGCTTCATTATCCACCCAGAATACTGGGGGGAAAGGAATTTCAGCTGCATTTAGCTTATTTGACCTCATTGATTTTTGTATACACTAGAATTTGGCTGCTTTCTGTCCCTCTAAGACAGGACCCAGGAAAAGCAAGTGGAGCCTGACTTAGTCAGGTTCCCTAACTGCAGCAACAAGACAAGCAAACTATGATTCACAGTTTCCACTCTCCTCCCTAGACCCATGCACCTTCCCCCACCACCAGCCTCAACAAACTCCCAAATCTCCAACGCTTACTGATTCTCACCAGTGTGGCTCAAAGGGTTAAACCAGGACCTCTTAGACAGTTAGGACACAAGCTCATTCACCAATGGGAACCCAAGAATGGCTACACACAACCTAGTGCTTCCTGTAGCGATTCTTTGGGGTTTCACCACACCCTGTTTTGTCACAGTTGAGAGCACCTGGATTCTTCCCAAGCCCAAGGCTACCCAGGAGGCCGGGGAGCTCTTGGGTGATGGCCCGCTCAATCTTCTCCAGAAAGCATCCTCCCATGTAGGAGCACTGCTGAGAGAGGAGTTTGAAACTGGAAATGGGGTTGATGCCAAAGAAGTCCTTATAAGCCTCACGGTTGGGAAGGTCAAACTTGCTGACATTGGTCTTTGCCAGAATAGTCTTGAAGATGTAGAATTTATCAGGATCTTCCACAATGTCTTTAAAGACCAGTTCACCATCACTGAAGAAGGTCATTTTGTCTTTGTAAGTCTGCAGATAGCGGTCAACCAACAGGGCATGAATGCGGACCCGGATGGCATGCTGGCGGATGAAGGCAATCTTATTCTCCAACCTGTTCTCAATCACCTGGTTCAGGTCTTCCAGGAGGGAGATCTCTTCTTTGAGGAACAGTTCCCGGTGGGTGTCGGGTTTATAATCTTGTGGCCAGAAGGAACTAACGTAAACCCTTGGGGGTTCTGTGACATTGATGAGAGGAGCCAAGCTCCAGAAGAGGGCTCCATACACACGCATTAGCATTTGTGTGGCCAGGTTGTCAGCTTTGTTCAGGATGATCCTTATCTGGGACTCACGTCCCTTCAGCTGGCGGAAGAGCATCTCCAGCTCCAGACCCACATCCAGCTTGGTAGGGTCAAAGACAACAAAAATGAGATCAGCTCTGTCGATGAACCATTGGCACACATCATTGAAGGGGTAGCCTTGGAGAAACAGGAGGGAGAAGACAAGCTGAGTGGAGCTCCTGCAAAACCCCTCATACTTCCCTTTTGAACCAAACCATTCTGTGGATTGAAAGAAGTCAGAACCAGAGAGTTTCTGGGTTTCTTTTTTTGTTTGTTTAGTACCGGGGATTGAACTCAGGACCTTGCGCTTGCATGGCAGGCAGCGGCACCACTGAGCTAAATCCCTGGCCCAAGTTTCTGGGTTTCTAAAGACTGTTTAAAATGAATTGCATATTTCCTTCCCTTTATCAACCTTCAACCAAGAACTGCTTGATCCTTGATTTAATCTATAATGGAATCCAGGTCTCCAGGAAAGCAAAATACTTGTTAAAAGTGGAGATTTTCCAACTGTTTTAAAAGGTCTAGAGCAGAGGCAAAGGCATAAAAGGCTAGAAGTCAAAGAATTAGAAGAAAGTAAGAGAGGATGTGTGATTTAGGATAAAGAAATGTGGGTCAGTGTCAGGACCTAGATGGAATTTGGGCTTTGCCACTGGCTAGCTGAATAGTAAACATTCCTAAACTCTAGCTCTTTAGCCACAAAATAACAAGAAGAGCAATAACACCAAAGCTTATATAAAGATTACTGTGTCATAATAGAATAGAAAAGCACCTAAATAAAGCTCTAGTCATATAATGGTGTCCAATATATTTTAATTCCTTTGACTGCTTTCTTCAGTTTTCTCATTTACAAAATAAAGCAACAAGGAACAGCTATCTTGAAAAACAATGGACAATGAATAAAACTTAAAATTATCCAATCATAATAGGGGTATGAATTTGTTATAAGAATTATTAATGATAATATTACTACTAATAAGGTCTAGTTATAACCCAAGTGAAAGTCATAATCATAAACTGAGATCTGCCATCTGGTCACATATTCTTATGACTGCCCTTTTTAGGACTCACCAATACATATACAGATAGACTTGTGTCACGGCAGTACTCAGTGGCCTATGTCATAGTCTCATATCTGCCAACCCCAAAGTGGCTTTCCCCTGCCACCTAAAGATAAACAGGGTTCTGGAAAGTCTGATCAAAGTTTAGATTGAAGCAGACCTGACAAAGCAAAAAGTGGCCATAGGAAGAGTTGAAGGTCAGGTCCAATACAGGGTAAACCTCAGAGTCCCAGACTCAGTTTAGCCAGAAGTCAGATATAGGGGCCAGGGATTTAGCTCAGTGGTTTTGGAGCCTGCTGCGCAAGCGCAAGGACCCAAGTTCAATCCCCAGTACCAAAAAAAAAATAAAGAAAATAAAGAAGGAGGGGAACAAAGAAGTCAGATATAAGGATCCAATTAGTCCAGACTTTTGACTACCCAGGACAGATTGGGCTTCCCAAAGTCAACTCGGCCCCCGCTTGGACCTCTAGGAGCTCTTGTGGAGAAGACTAGCTCCCCTCCTGGGAAAATACTGGCCCCAAACCAAATCATCCTTGGGGAGGTAGGAGGACAAGATACTGCAAAACCCAAATGGCACGTCAATGACAAGAAGGAGTTGGAGATAAAGAATATCTCCTGATCTTAGACAACACTGGGGACATCCCTTCTCCCCTGCTCGCCTACCACCTACTGTCAAAACAGTAAGAGAGAAACTGCTATTCAGAAATGGGTGCTAGGGCTGGGGATTTAGCTCAGTGGTTCCGATGCTTGCCTCGCAAGCACAAGGACCCAAGTTCAATCCCCGGTACCAAAAAAAAAAAAGAAAGAAAGAAATGGGTGCTAAATTACCTCTTTCTTGTTGCTTGCGGTTCTCAATGATGCCAGGTGTATCCACAAAAGTGACCCGCTCCAGAAGCTTGTGGGGAACCTCAATGCCAATGAGCTTCTCTAGGAAATTCTGGCCAAACTTCTCCAGGGGTGAAAAGGACCTGGCACTGTCAGCAGCCATGACAATACCCTCAATCGTTTTCAGTTTGGGCCCGTGCATGAGGACTGTGAACTCAGAGGTGGTGGGCTCAGCACCTACACATGGGTGAAATTATACAAAAACAGTAATCTCTGCAAAACAGACTACTACAAAGAATGTAACAATGGAAAAACAAGGTGTCTTGGAGAGACTTGCCATAAGGACGGGATATGTTTGCTAAGTCAGTGGTTTTTAAAATTATGGTAAAATAGGGCCAGGGATTTAGCTCAGTGGTTTTGCCACCTTCTGCGCAAGCGCAAGGACCAGAGTTCGATCCCTGGTACCAAAAAAGAAAAACAAAACAAAATTATGGCAAAATAAAACTAACACAGAATTTACCATTTTGAACATCTTTAAATGTACAGTTCAGCAGCATAAGTACATTCATATTGTTGTGCAACTATCACCACCATCTATTTCCAGAACTTTTTCATCTTCCCAAAGGGAAACTCTGTCCCCATTAAATAGTAACTCTTGGGCTGGGGATTTAGCTCAGTGGTGCCACTGCCTGCCTCAAAAGCACAAGGTCCTGAGTTCAATCCCCAGTACCCAAACAAAAAAACAAAACAAAAAACAGTAATTCTTTTTCCCTCTCCCCCTCAAGCCCCTGGCAACCTCTACTCTACTTTTTTTTTTTTTTTTTTGGTCCTGGGGATCGAACTCGGGTCCTTGTGCTTGCGCAGCAGGCAGTGAAACCACTGAGCTAAATCCCTGGCCCTCTACTCTACTTTTTGACTCTGAAGTTTTCCACTGTAGATACCTCATGTAAGTGGAACCACACAACAATTGTCTTTTTGTGCCTGGCCTGTTTCACTTAGCATAATGTCTTCAAGGTCCATCCATGTTGTAGCATGTATCAACTGTGTCTGATACATCCGAATAGCACATATAATTCCTTTCTAAGGTTTAATAACATTGCACTGTATGGACAGACCACATTTTGGTTTCCATACATCCACTAATGGACATCTGGGCTGTTTTCACTTTGGGGCTATTATGAATAATGCTGCTATGAACATTGGTATAGCTGCCAGTTTCTTGTTGTACATGGTTTTAATTATTAGATTGAAGATTATATTAATGTTTTATTTTTCATAGTGCTTTTACATATGGCACTCAAATATGAACAATCACACACCAAAAAATCTCTTACCTGTATAGAGCTGGTAGCGAGTGTTTTCCAACCCAAGGAGGTAGTTTATCATGGTGGATTTACCAACACTCCACGGTCCAAGGAACAACACCATTGGCTTAGAAGTAATTTCCCCATCTGTGGAAAACAAGAAATAAAAATGGAAATGAACTAACACTGATTCTTACTATAGGAGTGGCACTGTTCTCTAAAAGCCCTCTGCATCCTCAGCTGTCATCCAGCTGAACTGTGGGATTCTATATGGATCAAACAGTGTGCAGCAATCAAAAGCAAACATTCAGTTAAAAGATGCCACAAGTCCTTGTTTTAACCTTGCCCAGATCCTTGGCACATTTGCCTATACCAGAAGGAGGAAGTGAATTCAACAGATACTGGCTCAAGCTCTCACTCTAAGCAAAGATTCTTGGTTAAATCTGGAAGAGAATAGTTCATAAAAAAGGAGGATAGAGCTTCCACATGGAGAGAAGTTGAAGCTCTGCTACTGGATTGATAAAGAGAAGAATGGACATGGAAGAATCTTATACAATCTTGGACCATCTGAAATCCAGCCCTGCCTTTCCCCTTCTCTGAAGCTCTGCTCTCCTCTTCACTGTGGCTCTCCAAATCCCCAACTTGCACTCAGCCTAACCCTGGCTGAGTCTAGGGCCAGTCTCAAATATTAGCCTCCAAAGTTCATGACAAATGTGACACCATTCAAGACCAAACACTAAACTTAATCCTTGGGTTCTTAGAGTCCAAGCTGCAAGCTCCAAGCCTTCGAGAGACCATGCTGGGGAGCACGTCCTGCCTGGACCACTCCAGCTTGGATCCCTAAGAAGAAAAGCAAAATTCTCCAATGCTTTCAAAAGTTGGGACAGTGGAACTTTCTAAAATAGTGGAAAGTTTACCAGTGCTTTCAAAAGTAGGGATGTAGTTCAGTGGTAGAGTGCTTGCTTAGCATGTGAAAGGAACCCAGCACCTCAAAAAAAAAAAATCAGAGTCTAAGAGGGTAGGTAGGGGCTTCTGACATGGGATGTGGTCAATCTTGTTGCTGATTTGAAGGAGGAAGTGGAAGAGGGGAGGAGGAGAAGAGGAGCGGAGAGGAGGAGGAGGAGGAGGAGGAGGAGGAGGTGGAGGAGAGGAGAGGAGGAAGACTGACCAAGATTGTGGTCAATTTTGTTCTGCCCTCTCAGTAATTATCTGAACAATTAGCCTGGGATAATTGAGCACCTAGATTCTCCAGACCTTCCTGTCTCCCTGAGCTTGTAGACCTCCTTTTTTTGTTCTTTTCTTTTCTTTCTTTTTTTTTCTAGTACTAGGAATAAAACCCAGGGAGCACTAAGTTATATCTCCACCCCTTTTAAAAATTATTTTTTTAGTTTTGGTTTTTGTTTATTTTTCGATACAAGGTCTCACTACATACTCCAGGCTGGCCTTGAACTCATGATCCTCCTGCTTTAACCTCTCAATTACTGGGATTACAGACATGCTTTAATATTTTTTTTTTGAGACAGGGTCTCATTAAGTTGCCTAAGGTGGCCTTGAACTTGCAATTTTCCTGCCTCAGTCTCCCAAGTAGCTGGAATTATAGGCATGTGCCATCACATCAGCTTTTTTCATTTATTTCTTATACTTTAATTTCTTAGCTCAAAAATCAGAAGTCTAAAAAAGCATATAAGGGAAGACTCTCATCCTTGCCTGGATCATAACACTGCCTCTATAGGTAACTACTGCTGCTAATTTCTTTCTTTCTTCCTTTCATTTCCCTTTGGATACAGAGTCTTACTGTGATACCTAGACTGGCATCAAACTCCCGGACTCAAATGATCCTCCTGTCTCAGCATCCCAAGCAGCTGGGACTACACACACACACACACACACACACACACACACACACACACACATATACACTACACACACTACTGTGCCTGGTAACAGTACTAGTTTCCTACATAGTGTTCCAGATATCTTAATGCATGTATAAAGTGTTTGTATATATCCTATTCCTTATCTTTTTTATACAAAGAGTAGTATCACATACTTTCTTTTTGTTGTTCTGGTTTTCTTTCTCTGGAGTGAAGCCAAGTCCTAGAAGATGATCTCTTGTAAGTGGCAGGCACACACACATTACCTGAAACCAATACTGTGTCCCTGCTCCCTCCTTCCCTTTCTGTAAACACACACATGCACACACACACAACCACACAAGAGAGAGACCCATCTGATCTGATTGGGGGCAGGCCCAGGGAAGGAGTCCTTGGGTATAGCCATAAACACTTTACCGAAAGCTTCTTTACACAAACCATGGTGACACCAAGGTGGACAGGGGACCTGCAAATTCTGAGAGCACAAACAGGGCTTCCCACGCTGCTATTCCAGCTCTCCACAGCAGGGGGCATTGCGGGCATATGTTGTCGTCGGCTATGAGCCGGAAGGACAGCAGGTCAGGCAGGAACTGGTGAGAGACTAGGGAAGAAGAGCCAAGTCCAGAAAGTGAACCAGGAGCCAGGCAAGCCCTCGCTCCAGAGTACCATTCCTGGGATGGGCAGCAGCCTCCTGGCCTCTGCTACTTCAACATTGGTGCCTCCTGGAAAGGCCACACCACTCGGTGCCAGAGCTGGGAAAGAAGTCAAGGTCAAAGGACAAAGGAAAGCCACTAGAAGACTGCGTAACCTCACACCTCTGCTTACAAGAAACAGTATGGAAAGTAGTAGGACAGAGTAATCCCTAGGAGAAGAAACAGAAAGTCACAGTCCTCATTCCAGCTGTGTAATTTAGGTAACCCAGCACTTCCTGGGCATCAGGTTCCTCTTCAATAAAGCTGGAATAATATATACTTTATAATACTCTATCCACTCTATAGCCATTGAGAGAATCGAGTGAGACAACACGGAAATACCCAATTAACACAGGAAGAGATCTGTGATGTCACTTACAATTGAAACAGCAATAAGGGCAGAGAGTGTAGCTCAGTGGTAGAGCACTTGCCTAGCATATTCAAGGACCTAACACAATCAGTCAATCAATAAAAATAAGATACAGGGCTGGGGATTTAGCTCAGTGGTTCCGCCACCTGCCTTGCAAGCACGAGGACCCAAGTTTGATCCCCGGTACCAAAAATAAAAATAAAAATAAGATATCACTGGGCCGGGGATTTAGCTCAGTGGTTCCAGAGCCTGCCACTCAAGTGCAAGGTCCTGAGTTCGATCCCCGGTACCAAAAAAACAAACAAAAAACAAAAATAAGATATCATTACAAAAGCTTCAAAAGGTGAGTAACAGTAGCTTGGGATGTTGCTCAGTGGTACAGTGCTTGCCAGCATATAGAAAGTTCCATCCCCAGTACCACGAAAATGAGTAACACTTAAACATGACATAGCTGTGGGGGAACAAGAACTCTCATCTATCATTCTTATGAGTACAAACTAGTACATTTTAGGCAATTTGGCAACAATTATCAAAATGTTTAATTCCAGTGTTCCATTTCAAGAACATATCCTACAAAGATACTTGCATAAAATAAATGATTATAGTCATGTTTGGAACATTTTTTTAAATGGAATATGGAAACCATCCTATTGTTCATCAGGAAAAGACCAGTAATACAGACACTGGTGAATTCATGTAAGAGAGAACCAGGAGGGGCTTGAGGAGGGAAAAGGGATAAAATAAAATAAAATAAAATTTATTTTAAAAAGAGAGAGAACTAAGCACCCACAGAAAGAATAAGAGAGACCAACACATGCAAATGTGCATACATGCACATGTATCCACACATGTGTACACAGTTGACATAATATGATCCCATTTGTGTAAAAGAAAAAGACATACTTTTTATGTTCACATATGTAGAGGAAATGTCTCCAAGCATTCACAAGAAATTGTAACAGTGGGTGTCCCTGGGAGTGGAATTAGAGAAGTTGAAGATCAATGAAGGAATTTTTAGTTCAAATACTGCAGTATTTGAAAAAAATTTGCAGCAAGTATGTCTTACTTTTGGTATTTTGAAAACCAATTTTTAAAAGAATCCAGATCCAAGAGAAACCACTCAGGAAGAGGTTTACTAAGGGGCAAGAGAGGATTCCAGTCCAATCAGAAGACTCAGACATGATGCACTAAGTGAATAGGAAACCCTTGAGGGCTCTTGAGCTCATGGATTGAAGTTGGCATCACTACCCTGAAAATCAAAAACTGTAGTACCGAGATATAAATGTTTCACAATGAAATGCTGTCTGTCAAACTCTCATATAGTATTGTGCGTGATGGGCATGCTTCACAGGACTGAGGTCGCTGTCCTATCCAACTCTGCAGGAGACCTCCACTAGCATCCTTGTGCATACTTCTCATGAAGCTTGTGAACCTGTGTGGGCACCACAGTGGGTCAGAGATGCAGCCCCCCACTCCAGACGCATGCTATACCTGTGATCTCATGCTGCCGAAGCTCATTGTATTTGTAAGACTGCTCCAGGGGCTTGATGGATGTATGGTAGATCTTTCGAAGCCGCTGCAACACTGCTAAGGGCAGAAAGGGGTGAGGGGGGCAGAATCAGACAAGGTAGGTTCCAGGTGGCTCCTTCACTGGGGAGCAGTCTTACAGCCCAAGTGATTTTACCTCTGCCTGCGGAAGATAAGGGACTGTTTGCAGCCCAGAGACTATGTAATATCATGGAGAGAGCTGGTTCACATCACAATCTTCTGAAATCCTCAAACCAAAACCATTCCTATCAATCCTGACAAAGCTGCCTTAGCCATTTTTTTAAACCTCTTGCCTCCTTCCCCACTTGAACAGCATGTCTTGAAAACACCAGCTCAGCCCATACCCTATCTAAAGGCTCATTCTTTGTGAGATAAGACTTCGATCTCTTTCTCTCTGCTGCCCACTTCAGCTTGCCCTGCCCTAGGCCCAGAGGGCAGAGGGGCTGGTTACCCAGCAGGTCAGCAGCATGACCACCCTGGCCCTTGCACATACTGCACTGAAGGTGATCCTGAGAGGATCCAGACATTCCCAGGTATCCTTCTGAGAAAACGCAGCAAACAGCTGGAAGCTGCTGGGTGTTTGCACAAGAGAATGGTACATGGGACCCAGGGTTAGGCTAGGGAGGCTCTAGCCCTCACTTTGCCCTCTCTGGTTATGAGCCAAGACCAAATTGCTGCCTTGCTCTGAGCTTAACTAGCTCATTGGTTTAAGAGGAGACAACAAGCATTATTAAATTTGGGGGGGGGGGTACTGGGGATCGAACTTGGGTCCTTGCACTTGCACAGCAGGTGGCAAAACCACTGAGCTAAATCCCCAGCCACAAGCATTACTGAAATTCTTGGGTTATTATTAGGATGAAATGAAACATAAAAGATTTGCAAAATAAAAATCAAAGCAAATGGGATGCATTGTTATTAACTACCTTCCTGGCCAGAGCAGAGGCTAGCACATCCTTCCGGTGGCAGCCCTGGGATTTGCCCTCAGCACTTACACAGGTCCTTCTGATTGGATCACTGTCCTCCTCCCGGCTGACCTACCTTGGTCCTGCTCACAGATCCTCCTCTTGTGGCTCCCCACCTCCAGGGCTCTCCTCTTTCCTGTGGTCCCCCCTGGCTACAGGCCCATTGGGCTCTGGCTCCCAGTCACCTCAGAGGTTCTGCCTAGCTGCCACCCATGGGACTACCCCGGCCTGTCTCCCACCTCTGCTTACCTGAATAATCATCAGCTGGCTTGTCCTCATTTAGCATCAAGGTCTTCTCGATGTGGGAGCGGTCCCTCATTGGGGCTTCTTCACTCACATCCTCTGTCTCTTCTGCAGAGAAGCAGAAAACGGCATCAGGGCAAAGTTCTTAGTCTCACAGGAATGGCATGGGGCTGGGTCTCAGTGCTAAGCTAGCCACCAGCTTGAACTGAACTGAGTTCTGCCTTTACAATGCAATTTGAAAATCCAACCTCAACCTCCAAGCACTATTATCATTTTATTTATTCAACAAAAATATACTGTGCCCCTACTACATGCCAAGCATCAAGAATCATGCTAGAAATGCAGTGGTACTCACACAGGCACAGCTTCTCCCCTAGGAACCTGTCCTAGAGTCAGTGGGAAAAAGCTGATAAATGGTATTTTAAATATATAGTAATGGCCAGGCATGGTGGCACATGCCTGTAATCCCAGCAATCTAGGAGACTGAGGCAGGAGGACTGCAAATTCAAGCCCAGTCTGGGCAACTTAGAAAGACCCTGTCTCTAAATAAAAAATAAAAATGAATAAAAAATTTTAAAAATAAAAAATAAAAAGGGCTGGGGATGTAGCTCAATGCAAAGGTCCTAGCTTCAATCCCCACTACTGTAAACAAATGAAATAAAATAATAAAATAAAAATAAATATTGTGAGCAGTGAGGAGGCTAGGAAAGAAAAAAATCACAGCAGCTAAGTGGACCTAAGAAGAAGCATGCCCACAGACTTAGCAGGGAGTTACAGAAACCTTCTTGAGGAGTCCATTACTGAAGAAGGAAAGGGTTGGGGTTTTTTTGCAAAGGACCAACGAAGAGTTTAGCAAGAAGCAGTAAGAAGCCTATGGCCAGCCACAGGGGTGCAGAGCTAGGTGCTGGAGAGCCAAAGGGATTCACAGGAGCTGACCAGACAGCCTCACAGGTGCCACCATGGGGGTCTGTATCTCATCCTATGGCAACAGGCACCCACAACAGGCTCTAGGAAGGCAACTGACTGATGGAATGAGCATCTTATCAGGATCACATGGATAGGAGAACAGAGAAGGAGCTGCTGCCATGCATTGTGTTTGTGCATGTGCATGCGCTGGAGGTCAACTGTCCTGACCATACAAACAAGAAATCCCCATGCCTGCCACCAGCCCCTGAGCAGAGAAGTTTGCTCACATTCATGGATCTCTAAAGTCACAGAATTTTCTCGGGGTGGATTTAGACCTGTGGGGCACAGGGAGGCCAGTACCAACATGCGTCCTGTGGTGTTTCAGGAGATCAAACCCAGGCAACCCAGACCCAAAATTAGGAGGAGCAGAGAAAGGGGAGGAGCATACTGACTGCAGCCCCATCCCCTTTATGGAGAGTGCAAAACCTGGCAGAGAGTACATACATTAGATTCTGCAAGGGAGCTATGTGGAAAAGTGAAGACTTGACCCCAACCTCCATCCTGAAAGCCTGATTTCTGCTGTGGCCGTGCACATAGATGAAGACTGAGGAGCCTGAGCAGCCCCCACATCAGATACACCCCTAATGCTGCCAATACCTTGGGCCCATCCTTTCCCCCTCCCTCCTGTTTCCTAGTCCTTTGAAGACTGCTTGGCCTTAGGTGGACATTCAAGGGACATTGGTGGTCACAGCCTGAGTTGTCACAATCCTAACCCCTCAGTCCCAGCTCCCCGTGCCTCCTATGAGAGGTCTTCAAGGGGAGACACAGGTACTAGGCCACAAGGTGATCACTAGGCTCCTAGTTGACCCCCACCAACACCTTTTCATCAGACAACTTGGGGTCTCAAACCCTGCTGTCAGCCCTCTTGTCCCCTTGTCCTTAAAGCACTGGTCCATGTTAAAGTAGTGACCCTAACGAGGAGGTTCCTGAGGGCCTGACTCAGAAGTGGCCAGATCCCTCTGGACCCTCTCACTTGGTCCCTCCACACTAGTGGTAAGTGGCTGAGTGGCAGCTCAAGGGTACCTCCCCAGGCCAGTGCCCCAGCTGGAGCCCCACCCAGCAATCCAGTACTAGCTAGAGACTCTCCTGCCCATCCCATCCCTGCCTGTCTCACTACACACAAGATTTCCATGAAGAATGTGGCCTCCCAAGGTGCTGGAGATGCCTCAAGGAATTAATTCCTACCCTGTGCAGCAATTATGGGATTCCCCCTCCCCTGACGTCCCTCTTCAGGCTCCTCTGCCTCAGGATCTTGCGTCTTGCCACCCTCAGACCCTATATTCAGTTCCTCTGTGCCGAGCTGAGCTCCTTCCTCCTCGTGATCTGTGGTTTCTGTTGCTTCTTGGAGCTCAGCCTCCTCAGATTCCCCCTCTTCTTCTGAGCTAGCCCCCTCGCCACTGTCTTCTCCAGACTCTTCTTGGGATGGAACTACTCCTTCCTCCTCACTTCTACCTTCTTCACCATCAGCTTCTTCAGAGGAGGCCTCATCAGAGGCCTCCACAGGCATCCCTGGCACCTGAGCCTTAGGGGAGCGGTCCTCATCAGTCTCCCCAGGCCTGGAGCTCTGAACACCCCCAGACTCTTCACTGACCTCCGTGGCTGGCCCAGCCTCTTGGATGGGGCTTGGCTCCCCCTGGTCCTCAGCCCCTTCCCTGGCTTCTGTGTCCACACCAGGTTCCAACTCTACTCCCACAATTGCAGCATCAGGGGCTCCATCTAGCTCTGTGGGCTGGTGATCAGGCCCTGGGTTGCCCTCATCTTCTGTTTCCAGTGCATGGGCCTGGGGCTGGGGTTGGGACTGGTCTTCAGCCCCCTCCCCACCTTCTGTCCCCATATCAGCCTCTGACTCTTCTGCAGATGTGGCATCACCATCTAGCTCTGTAGGCTGGTGATCAGGCCCAGGGCTGCTCTTGCCTTCTGCCTCCAAGGCATGGACCTGGGGTGGGAGCTGGTCCTCAGCTCCCTCCCTAGCTTCTATATCTGTGTCAGCCTCTGACTCCTCTGCAGTCACTGCATGCCCATCTTGCTCTGCAGAGTGATGATCAGGCCCTGGGATGCCCACACTTTCTACCTCTGGGGTGTGAAACTCTTCACCCTCTAAGCTAGGAAAGGTCCCAATGGCTTCAGGCTCTTCTGTTCCTGCTGCTGCTTCCTGCACGGGACTGTCTCTTAGGACTTCCTCATCTTCTTGGGGAACCTCACCACTCCCCACCTGTCCTTCTGTCTTCCCACTGACAGCTCCTGCTGTAGGGAGCCCCAGCCCAGCTGCCTCCTCCCCTCCTCCTGAAATGAGCTTTAGCCTGTCCTCTTCCACAGGCCCCTCATCCTCTCCCAGAGGAAAGATGCCTGCCCCTGATGGGCCCTCCTCTTCCTTCCCAGGCCCCATAACATCCCCAGGTGGAGCTGCTTCTGCAGCTGAGGCATTGGAGAGGGTGGCTTCAGGCTCAGAGTCTGGGCTGGTGGCAGTGGGAGGGACCCCGGCGGTGGTCTGCTCTGAGCTCTCAGCCTCCCTGCTGTCTGGGTAGTGAAGGAGCAGATTCTTGTCTTGAAGGGCCGCATCTGCATATAGCACCCTTTCTTTCTCCTCTAGACTTGCGTCTCCAGCAGAGAAATGATTCTCCAACAAATTGCCAACATCTTCTGTGCCACCCGAAGCAGGGACTTGCAGTTCTAAATGATTAGAACATGTTTGGTCAGTTCAGAGGGCTGGCACTTGTTCTGCCTCTCAAGAGTCTATATCAATCTAGCTTCCTCTCCCAGGAGTGTGGTGTGTGCCTCGTATGCAAGTGCTTTACCTTCTTCCCTGGGTCTTCACAACCACCTGGCTCCTACATAAGATGTGGGGCCCTTGGATCAGGAAGTTAAAGGACTGGACTGTTGTCCATTACTAAGGCAGTTAGCAGCTGCACTAACCTGAGAGCCTCCACACCCTGGCCCTGACCTTCAAGTCTCCCCATTAGGTCTTAATGACTGTGTATGGATGGAAACTTGGGTGAGCCCTTCCAGCCCTTCATCAACCTTGCTGATGGGCACATGCAGGCTGGCTCACAAGGAGATAGGACAGATGCTTGTATATTACATCCCTTGTCAGTTCCTAGAGTCATTAACCACCATGCCTTGTATACTGCTATCAGCAAAAAAGGTGAAAACAGGTGTTTGCAGGCAAGATAATCTCAGGTTACATGCCAAAGTACTTAGTGGATTACTTGTGACTCTCAACCTTATTAAGTCATACATCTAACACTGTCCCCTTAAGGGCAGGCATTTGCTGGCCTCGCTACACCAGATTAGAGGGGACAGGGCCTAAGGAGATATCCAAAACAGACAGAATCTGGGCCTCCTATTAGCCTCAGCCAACCTCTTCCAAGGGGATCCTGTTTTAAGGGCCTGGAATTTACTCAGAGATCACAGGCCACAGGAAGAGCAGAGTGAGAGAGTACAGGAGCTCAGTATAAGCCAGAGACCACTGCCAAGGGTCACGTTTAATATTTCTGGAAAATGGGTGGGGAAGCATAGATTGGGCCTATCCCTTCTGCCCACCTGCCCAGACAGATCTGTTTCAGGATGCCTGCAGTGGAGGACAATATATGGTTGTGGGGAAGGGGGTACAAAAGGGTCCAGGAGGCTTGGGGTGGCTGAGACAGTCCCCATCTCCCGATTCTCAAGGCCTCTTTCTCTACCTCTCTGCTGGGTACAGACATCCCCTCCCAGGCCAAACTTGGTCCTCCTGTTTCTGCCTCCCATGAAGAAAAAGCCCTTCTGGGCTAGGTGTAGCAGTGCATACCTATAAACCCAGCTACTTGGGAGGCTAAGGCAGAATGATCACACGAGCCCAGCCTGGGCAACCTAGCAAGGCCTTGTCTCAAAATTTAAAGAGGGATGTGGATGTAGGTCAATGGTAGAGTGCCTGTCCAGTATGTGTGAGGCACTGGGTTCTAGCCTTAATACAGGGAAACAAAAACAAACAAACAAACAAGCAAACAAAAAGACAGCCTTCTGCATCAGGGTTCTCCAACCAATTCTCAGAAAGCTGGAGTGGGGAATGGATATTTCCTCATAAGTCCCCACAGACAGCCAACCTATGTCAAATTCACAAGCTTTGGGACCTTTTTTATAAAAGAGTTCCATATAATAATATATAAAACTCCTCCAAGCACTTTCACACACACAACCACTTTTAATTTTCTTTATTACTGTCAGGCAGATTTTAGAGCCAAGTTAGTGACACTCATTGACCTACCCAGACACATGGCCACTAGGTGACTAAGGGGTGGCTGGAACACAGAACTGCCAACTTCTGGTCCATGACATGTTCAGGGGGCACGAGATCCTTTCCCATGGGGACTCAGCCTCTGCCTCCATGCACTTTCTCCCAAGGCTCAGACCTCCGGCTCCCAGATGGGAGAAAGTACTAGAGGATATTTGTTTATACGTGGGTACCAGTAAAGGTGGGGAGCTGGATGTTGCTCATCTAAATTTTCTTTCCTTACCATCTAATTGCCAACTTCTTCCCTTGTATCACTAGCTTCCCAACCCTACCCTGGAGTAGAATCTATGGGTAGATTCTATGGGTAGTAGAACTTAGGTGTTTTTTTGTTTGTTTTTGTTTCTTTTTTAACTTGTTTTAACCAAAGGAGACTGATAATCTTCTGAGCAGCAAGATATATATATATATATCTCATATGAGATATATTTATATAATTATTCAGTGTGACAGGCAAAATAAAACATTAACTTAATCTCACTGAATTTACTTAATCCCACTTGTTTCTGGAAAACAAGTTATTACTCACAACCCTGTTTTACAGAAGGGAAGAATGGAATCAGAGGCACTGAGGGCCTTACCAATGCCACATAACCAGTGACTGGCTAAGACCATCTGACTTCAGAGCTGCACAGGAGACTACTCAATCTCTGAGTGGAATTTTCACTGTTCAAAAAGGTCTAGAAACCAGCTCCCTCAGTATTACTTGGGAACTTGCTGAAGATGCTGGATCTCAGGCCCCAACCACAACCCAATGATCAGAATCCACACTTAACGAGATGCTCAGGTTATTCATTTATGTTACATTTGGAGATCCACTGACTAGTCCACCCATAAGCCTGCCACTCCACTTGTGCTTCTCAGCACTACCTGTATGCTGGAATCACTGCTACTTGGTCCCATTTTTCCTCCCTTCCTTGGTGGTTTTAATTTAAATAGTCCAAGGTATAGCCCCAGCATCAAGTCTTGAAGAGAAAAAAAAAATTCTTTGGTAATTCTAACACACAAGGTTCCAAGACACTGCGACTGCTAAACCAAATAATCCGGACCTCCAAGTTTTTGCTCACAGACCCTCATCATTACAAGGGTGCCCAGTAAGGGATGTCATGTTGAAGTGTGTCTCCCAGGATGTGGAATTTGCCCTTGGAATAGCAGTGATGGTTGAGGTGTGTCTTCTGGAGAATCTCATTATTTCCTTAAGTCCCTGTTGCCCTTGATGGTGGTGGTGGTGGTGGCGGTGGTGGTTGTGGTGATGCTGATGATACTAACCCTAAACGGATTCTAGGTCTGAGCTCCTGTAACATTCCTGATATTCTCAAAAAACCCTCTGTCCTGATGGGAATGAGAAGCCTGTTATCAATCCAAAAAGCATGAGGACCTCAGAGGTTGAGAGTTTACCATGACCTTCACACTATTATATATTTTCCACTCCTGGACCCTAAACAGCAATTCAAGAGTATGTGCATGTACATTTATGTCCACACCCTCTTCCCTGTTTTTTGTTTTTGTTTAGGGGTGTGTGTGTGTGTGTGTGTGTGTGTGTGTGTGTGTGTGTGTGAGTGTGGGGGGGGGTTGTTGTTTTTTGGTTTTTTGGTAACGGGGATCGAACTCGGGTCCTTGCGCTTGCACAGCAGGCGGCGAAACCACTGAGCTAAATCCCCAGCCCCATGTGTGTGGTTTTTTTAACCTTAGTTCCAAGCTGCCCCTGACCTTCTGCTAAATGATTTGGAGTGAAAAAGACAGGATGATAGCTTTATGCCCTATGACCTTCCATCCTGGGCTAAAAATAACTTCTCAGGCCTGGGGATTTAGCTCAGTGGCACTGACCCTGTCTCGAAAGCGCAAGGTCCTAAGTTTGATCCCCAGTACCAACAGAAACAACAACAAAATAACTACTCAACAGAAAGTCTCTCCATGAAACAAACTGTCCTATTGGCCCCCAAAGCTTGATCTCCAGGAGGCAGCTGTGCCGCTGGGCCCAAATCTCTGCTGGGAGGCAGGTCTGAGGACCAGGGACCCTCCCACTACACTCAGTTCAATTTCCTTAAACCTGAGGCTGGTGTCTCTCCCTCCCTCTTTAGCTTCTTGCTGAAGCCCTGTTGGTACCTGGAGCAGGAGGTATGGGAAAGGCATAGATGACTCCTGGGTGGGTTATGTCCTGACAAAATGAGTCTTGGCCCATTCCAGGACATGAAGTACCATACTGTATGTGCTGCTGCCAACACAGCCACTCCATCCCTGGAAAGGCTTGGGTGCTGACATCAGGGCACCTGAACAGCAAGCTACCACCTCAGCCCCAGAGACCATGGAAGGCCCAAGCATCTGACATGGACGGCATCCAGACCCACCCACATCCATGCGGAACACACATAAGCCAGTCCTGCTTCTCTCTAGATGTCCGCTCTGCCATCAGCCCCTCTTTGCAAACCAGGCTTCCAGCTACTCCCACGAGCCCCACAGCCTCAGCTGTCACCCTGGGTTCCATTTCTCTCCTCTCTCCATCACCAACCAAACACTCTGATTTTGTTTCCTGAGCTCCTCACTTGTTCCAAAACACTTTCCATGGACTCAGGGTGATACAGTTGCCAAGGGCCTGGTGAGTCTAACTGGAAAAGAGCAAGCACTGGCCATCGGTCTATGGCCCTCAGACCAGAGATCCACCTACTCCCCTTGAGGTTAGCACACCAGGTCCCATAAAGCTCCAGAGTTACATGGAAATGTCTAGGGGGAGAGGGAGGCCAAAACAGCCTGGGGTTCGTGTCCTTTCATACTTCCTGCCTCCTTGGATAACCTGCCCCTGTTTAGAGGGACAGGGGTAAAAAGAAATTCCATCTCCTGCCCTCTCCCTAAAAATACCTTCCTTGAGTCTGCTTTCCATCATTTTCTCCAACCTCCTAAGAAGTCCTCTCATGGCAACTTTTCACTCTGCCAATCCACATGTACAGGGCCCTGAACTAGATTCTATCTCATCCTCACTGGGACTTCAAGTTTCCAAGGTACTGTATTTTTCATGTTTGTTTTTGGTTTTTGTTTTTTAGTTATTTTTCGAGACAGGGACTGGCTATATAGCTAAGGCTGGCCTTGAACTCACTATGTAGCCCAAGTTGGCCTCGAACTCAATCCTCCTGCCTCAGCCTCCTAAGTACTGGGAATATCGGCAACCAACACCACACCTGGCTCATGTTCTTAATTCTTTGTTCCTCCTCACAGCTAAGAAAAAAGGAAGGCTTATCAAATGAGAAGCAGACACAGAACAAGGCTCTAGATGTTTGCCAAACAAGGCTTTCCAGCAGAGCTCTGTCACTGGGGACAGTGCACCTTTTCCCAAAGAGTTTCTCAAGCACAGATTCCAGGCCCTGTGGTTGGGCCGGTGTGTAGCTGTGTGTTTCACAAGGTAATTCTAAAG